TTTTTTTTTTTTTTGAATTTAAGTTAAATGTTGTACAGTTTTAGAAAGCGATGAACATTAGGATGTGGACGACAAAGGTGATGAAAACAGCGACAGTAAAGGAAAGATATCGACCAAAGAAAACAACAGTAGTATGTTGGTGATATACATGAGCAAATTGAAGTAAAAAAAAAAAAACCAGCAAAGAATTAGAATTATACACTATTAAGCTAAAATTAGGTCTGTATTACGACAATTAATAAAGGACACTGACGAGGAAGTGAAGCAAACAAAACGGGAGGTAATTTTGAAATATGACAAAAGGAAAAAATGAGACTAATAAAAATAATAATATGCAGGTAAATAGGCAGATAAGCTATTAAATAAAACTAAATAAATTTGTGTAAATTGGTAAACACAAACCTGATCGAGTACGAATTGTTTCGCATCTGTAGTGAGAGTATTCACCGTCAGGTGGCGGAGTCAATGTGCTCATTCCTTTATCTGCAAAATGCTGATATATTCAACAGTCGAGCTTTTTTCATCATCAAGCATCGACAAACTGATGATTTTGCTGATGCTGATGATGATGTTGAGAATGATGAGAATAATAATAATGATGATGATGATGATGATGATGATGTTGCTGTTGATGATGATAATAATGTTGATGATGATTTTGATGATTATGATGATGATATTGATGATGATGATGGTGATGATGATGATGACCAACCTATGGAACTCAGCATTTCTTCCTATCTCTGTCTCATGCAATAACTTATTCTTAGAGACATTTAAAAAAGAAAAAAAAAAAAAGAAAGAAAGCCCACTACAAATTTATGAATCAAATTTTGATGATTGCTGTCATAAATTAATGGTTAAATATACATGCTTTTATGTCTGTATTTTTCATAAGAAAAAGACAAAAAAAAAAAAAAGTATCAAAAAAAAGGGAAAATACTAAAAAAAAAGACTGAGGTTTTTTTGTTTTTCTACTAAAGGAATTGCAGTCATCTTTGTTGTATTTTTCCTTTTTTTTTTTTTTTTAATATCATTGCTGTTTTCTTTGCGAGTCAAAGTTTCATAATTTAAAAATAATTACAAATATAGTAAATAATATTTTTTTTTTTTTTTGATTTTATTTATGTTTTTGTTGCAAACAATTAATATTACAGTACAATTGGTGCTTTTGTCTTTCTTTCCAAATTTTTTTGACACCGAACCGTAGGCGAAATACATTGAGTTGCCGTCCAAAGTTTTTGGTACCCTCAGCGATTGGGTTCTTCGCAGGTCGCCATCCGTTTGATTGAACATTTCGAACAGTGAATAAACAAGTGAAAAAAAAGAAGTCCAAACCAAAAAAGAAAAAAAACAAAAAAGCAAGTAAAAATTTTATAAATTCGACGGAAATAACATATTCGTTTTTGTTTATGCGTATTTTATAATTAATCTACAAATTAGCACTAAAGCACACATTAATTCTACGCATTATAAAGATTTGCTATTATATA